ATCCACCAATGAAACTGTTTTGCTTGTGAAGTCAATATTTATTCAGAACCTTGCCTTTAAACAAGCAAGGAATCTCACCTTTACACAAGCAATGCAACACACTTGAGGTGGGCCAACCCAGCAGCAAAAACAATACGAGACACAATAAATTTGTTATATCGTTTTCTTGATTATATTGGGAGGCCTCCCAATATATTCTCATCAGCTAGCATTGGGAGGCCTACTTTGTTTTTGTAGTTACCTTCTTACTGTGCCTATCACGTACAAGGCTGGACACGTTGATGATGGTTGAGCGCCAGCTGCCCGCACCCCCGTGTGCCTTTACAGCCCACTTGCACGTTATAAAATGGGGCAAGAGTAAAAGGGTAATTATATTTTGTATGTTCTCTCAATGACGCTCATTCATATGCGTTTACTGGTAGTACATAAGGAGAGGGAGTAGACAACAGGGAGGAGGACAAAATAAAAATAGAGAGAGCAAGAGAGAGCAATATATATATATCGTCAAATAGAACTGCCATTCTATTTGACGATATATATATATATATAAAGAGAGAGAGAAAGACAGAGAGAGAGAGAAAGCGAGAATTCTCTATACACACCGTTGGAGCAGACGACTAGAGAATGACACGAGATGTCAATCAGTGTTCGGGTTGCAGGATGAGGAGTAGCTGTTGCTTATGGTGGCTGTTGCCTATGGTAGGTGACCATTCCTGCAGACCGGAAAGCACCGATTCAGGTGCAGACTGTGGAAGCGTCACATCCAATTCTCGCAGTTGCAGTTGCTGCACTGAATGGCACGATGTAGACAGATATCGCAGGCGACATGGCTCCCACAGGCAAGGAACACAGAGGCACACCGGCCGCAATTGTAGAGGCATTGCTGTTCGAGCCCCTGTCTACAAATTGGACATGACATGTCAGGGTGCCAGAAGTGAGTGCAATATTGACTCTCATCAAACGTATGAAAACAGAAAGATGCACGGGCTGTGCCTTCATAATCCTCATGACACAATGCATGCAGCCCACATGCTAGCCGAATCTCAGGTGGATCATCACAGAACGGCATTGAGCAAGTGTTTTGGGTTTCCTCTGCATTGATTCCTTCTCTTTGGACCGACGACGACAACTGTGGCAAGAGGGGGTCATCCAAAACAAGGGTGTCTAGCTGCTGCAGAATTTGTTCTGCAACAGTTCGTCCTGGCGGTGTTAGCCCTTCAGCACAGTGCTCTATGAGCGACTAATGTGGTTCTCTATTTTCCTGCTAAGGCTATTGAGTTTGCTGTTCGTCAGGCAAGAAAGAAGGAGATCCGATGGCGTTTGCAGTAATTGCATGCCCAACTGTGCATGTGGGGCATGCTATGAGAGGACGTGGTGGATGATGGCATTGTGGATAGTTCACGCAGTAGAGGCACATGGTTTCTATGACAGCTTCCTGGAAACATTGATGAGACATGGCATGTTGCTGACATGTCAGCAGGAAGGCACGTTGATGTTCGCAGCTATTTAAGCATGGCAGATTAAGGCCACAACGGCATACTGGGCAGGCGATTAGGGGGAGGGGGGCATGAACACAAGACAAAGAGTCGCAGTTTTTGCGACAGAGGCTGGGATAGTATTCGGAGCAGAGACTATGCACTGTGCATGCTAACCGAACTGTGGCTGTGTGGCTGTGCGTGTGTGTGTGTGTGTGTGTGTGTGTGTGTGTGTGTGTGTGTGTGTGTGTGTGTGT